CCTGTTCATGCAAACACAGTCAGGTGCAGGGGACCACAGTTTGATCCCCAGCTTCACAAGCCTTACCAGACCTGCCCTTAAGGCAGCCTGAGCCAAAAAAAAAAAAAAAGAGTACTAAGGTTGGACAGTAAAAAAATTTCTCCATTACTAGAGTTGCTTCAGATAGCAAGGAGGGAACAGTTATTTTACTATTCCCTTGACAGGCCTTTCCTATACTAAAGAACACCAGGTTTCATACTTATTTTTCTTTGCATTTATTTTTTTCTTTGCATTTAATTAGTATTAAAATGTTAATAGAATTAGTAGTAATATATACCTACATATTTTCAAAGCACTTATTTAGTTTGATCTTCAACACAAATATGTATGTAAAATGGAGTCCTTATTTCCAACTTACAGATAAGGAAACAAATTTAGAGAGTTGTCCAAGGTCATATAATTTGACAAAGACAGAAAGTGAACCCAGGTCTTCTGTTCTATTCAAATTTTATATTTTTATTAGTCTGTACTTGCAGTATATAATGATTACATTGCTCATAGGGAGTTGGTACAGGTGGAAAACACATCTTCCTTCTTTTTTCATCGCCTCTCCTTTCCCTTCGCCTCCCTCCATCTCTGGGTCCCCTCCCCTTTTGCAAAAGCCCTATCTCCCCACTTCCTTTTTTATTTTTTTATTTTAATTTTATTGAGAAACAAATATGAATGAGACATTTTCAAAGCTGATTAATAGGACAGTTTTGATAATCAATACATTGTACATTGTTATCTTCTTATCCCCACTTCCTTTTATCTCTCATTTATTTTACCCTTTATTTATATACTAGAGTTATAATTTAAGAGGAACTATGTGATAGTCAAACTTGTGTGTCTGGTTTATTTCATTTAAATGTTTAATATTAAATATTTATTTCACCTTATAGTCTCAAAAGGCATCCATTTTCCTAAAAATGACTCAAGTGTATTCTTCATGGCAGAATTGTCCTCCATTGTTCATAAGTACCATGCTTTCTTTGTCCATTCATCTATCAATGGGCACATAGGCCACTCCCATGATTTACTGTTGTGATTATGCTGTTAATGTGGGTATGCATGTATCACTTGTAATATGATGTCTTCAACTCTTTTGGAAAGATACCTAGAAGGGGAATAGCTGGGTTGAATGGAAGTTTGTTTGTTTGTTTGTTTGTTTGTTTGTTTGTTTTGGTACCAAGAACTGAACTCAGGACCTTGTACTTTCCAGGCAGGTACTTGTGCTGCTGAACTATATCTATCCCTGGCCAATAAAATACCACATTTTTTTATTTTTTGGTACCAGGAATTGAACTCAGGACCTTGTGTTTGCCAGGCTGGTGCTGTGCCACTGAGGTCTAATCCTCAGCCCCTTGTCTAATTTTTTGAGCAATCTCTGTACTAATTCCCATAATGGTTGTACTAACTTACATTCCTACCAACAAGATATAGGGCTGTTTGTAGCATTTGTTATTGTTTGATGTCTCAATGACAACCATTCTTTGTGGAGTCACATGGAATCTGAGTGTTGTTTTAATTTACATTTCTCTAATGACCAGAGATATTGAACATTTTTTCATGTATTTATTTGGACATTTGTGTTTTTTTTCTGAGAAGTGTCTATTCATTTCAGTTGACTATTTTTTATTGAGTCTTTTAGTGAGGATATACTTTTTTTAGTTCTTTGTGTATTCTAGATATTAATCCTCTGTCCCAAGAATAGTAAATTTTTACCCATTCTGTAGCTTATTTCATCACCCTGTTGGTTGGTTGCTTCATTTGCTATGCAGAAGCTTTTTAATTTAACATAATCCCATTTCTTGGTTCTTTAGTAATACATGTCTGTAGTACATGAAATTTACATTGATTTTTAGAGGGCAGATACATGTATATAACACATCCTGATTCTTTTTATTCCCCTTCCCCTCCCCACCACCTCTTTCCCTCTGTCTCTATATCCCCTTTCCCTGTTTTCATTATTATTGATATTATATTTTTAAGTTCATGCATATGACATATAATGGTCATACTCTTTGCAGGTATTTGATATTTGCTGTACTGAAGCATTTTTATTTGATATGATCCTATTGGTTGATTCTTGATGTTATTTCTTGTGCAATTGGGGTTCTATTCAGAAAGTCCTTGACTATACATATGACATCAAGAGTTTAAAAAAGAGATTTATCTATTTTATCTTCCATCATATTAAGTGTTTCTGTTTTAACATTTATATATTTTATCCAGTTTGATTTTAACTTAGTACCTGATATAAGATGCTAATCTATCTTTAGTCTTTTGCATGTGGATACCAAGCTTTCCCAGCACTGTTCGTTAAAGAGGCTACATTTTCTACAGCATATGTTTTTGTCCTCTTTCTGAAAGATCAGGTAAATGAACGTACCTGGGATTATTTCTGTATCCTCTATTATGCTCCATTGATCCACATGTTTGTTTTTGACCAGTATCATGCTGTTTTTATTACTATAACCTT